CATGCCTTCATCGTCTTGCATGTTGACGGTGGTTCGGGTGGCTCTTGAAGAACGTCGAGGGGCCTCGAATTCGATGTCAGAGTCATGGGACTTCTGGCGTGTCGTAAGGCGTGATGCTTTGTGTCGTGCGTTCACGAGGCGTTTGAATCGTAGGCGTGCCTTGTTGGGGCGTCCTTTCTTGGGTAAGACGTCTGAGACAATGATGGGCATGAAATCATCATCGCCCTCCTCCTCCTCCTCCTCTGGGGGTAGGTCTTGAAGTAACTCATCCTGGTCCAGACTACCATCGCCGTTCTTAAAGGTCATGCTAGTCAGTGTCATCTGTCTCGGTTGTCGCGTTCGAAGCGATCTGGTAGGGACAGGAGGTTCATCTCGGAGGTCATCCAGATCATCCTTAGTGACCTGAACGGAGGGGCTTCGAGAGATCTGCTTTGTCGTTTCCCGGGAGCGAAGACGTCGAACTGGATGACTGGGTGCACGTCTGTGACGAATGGGCTCTTGGGCTTGGTCTTCGTCTTCTTCCTCTTCGTCGTCGTCGATATCCATGGGATCAGAGGCAGCTGACTCGGAGTCAGAACCCCACTCATCCTCGAGCTCGCGCTTTCGCTTCCGTATTCCAGCCATGGATTCGGTCTTGAGAGGCCCAGGTCCTTGGTTAAAGCGAGCAAAGGCAGCTCTTCCGTTCTCCAGGGCGACGAGCTCAGTAAAAGGTATCTCAAGCTTGAGTTAGCGATTTGAGCTGAAGTGAGCACGCGAAAGTGGAGGGATGAAGGGGAGGAGAGAGAGTTGAGAGAAATGCGATGAGAGAGGAGAATGTGCGGGGCTGCGAAAAAGAGGAGGAGAGGTTTATAACAGCAACAGTGAATAAGGGCAATATTGAACAATAGGCGGGCTATTGATATTGTGCAGAGGAATCCGTTTGCATGCTGTGGCGCTGCTTCGAGCCAAAGTAGGTCAACCGCCACGCGCAAAGAGCGTGAGCGCAAAGATAGACTCATGAACAATCGTATTGTGAAAGTCTTTGCTTAAATGAAGAATATTCACCTACCGAATCTTGCCTCCCATCTGTAAACTCGACCTTATAGCTGGCCTGGACGCGCTTGAGTGGAAGCTCTCCGAAAACAAACTCGACAATCTCGCTCTGGACCACCGAGTATTCCATGCGCTTCTCCAGTGGCATCTCAGGGATCGCAACCTGAATCGTGTAACCCATTTTCGGAATCGAGACTTGTGACTCGCTAGTCGCGTCATGAGTTTCTTGTTCGTGCTCCTCCTGTTCAACCATGGGCTCTAGGTCTATGGCCGGCTCTGGGTCGGGAGCAACCGCATCATCATCCGTCTCGGGGTTCGGGTTTGGGTCTTCATCGTCGTTGAGATCTGCTAGGAGACGTTGTAATGATCTCTCGATCTCGTTATCCTGATCGCCTCCAGTGCTGAAGCCCTCAAGGGGCTCGTAGAAGACATCATCGGTGTCCATTGCTGGCAGCGCATTCGGTCGAGTCGAGTCGTTGTCGAGGGGACGTGGGGTATATGAGGTTCCTCGTTTCGCGAGGAGTTGCAGAAAGGCAGAGACCGGGATCTATGATTACAAACTGTAAGGAGAATAAAACGGACATGAAGGCGTATCTAGCCGGGCCTAGAAACCATCATCAGGGCGTGTTGCGAAGTACAAGATTATTAGTCGTTTTCGTTTACTCTGGTAAACGCGATGTCGTAGCCAAACGCGTTGTCTCCAATCTCATTAACACGAACCGAGCCCGGATGCGCTAAGGTGAATCTCGAAAAAGATGGCCAATCACAGGCTGGAAGTGGGCTTCACCGCCCGCAACACCCCTGCAACGGCTCGGCAGAAAAAGTTCCTAGCGAACATGGGTGGAAATTCTATCAGAGAGGATCTTCAACCACAACCACCAACATACATCAAAAGAGTCTCTGTCTGATAGCCAGGCTCACGTTATGCCATGTTTCATCCGGTACAATTGAGGGCAACTGCCCTTCGCCGGCCTCTTGCTGGTCTTTTTACACCTCAACCATGCCCTTCTCGAATCTTGGTCCGCGCAAAGAGTCTTTCAGCTATCCATCGGGGTATGCGCAACTCGGAAAAGGCCCAATTTGGAGACTCTCGCCGTCCTACAAGGGACTCGAACGAATCGCGCGATCGTGACACATTCGATAGAAGAGCTCGAAGAAGGTCACCGGCCCCTCCAATTCACCGCGATACCCCAACCCGTCGGGATGAGTTCATGGACAAGTTCAAGTCAAGGGCCCAAGATAATGGTGGCACTAGGAATTGGCGCCAGGAACAAAAGCTAAGGAAGAAGCTACGGAAGAAGGACGAAGAGAAGAGGGCAAAGGAAGAGGCAGGCGACGAAGAGACTGGTCGTCGCACCCGGAGGAAGCGATTCGCAGACCCAGAGAACGAATTTGGCCAAAAGAGTTTTGTGCACCGAATGAAGTATGGAGATCTCAAGGATGTGGCCGCCGAATTACCCATCAAGCAGTTTGTCCAGCCGCGATCATTCCGCGAAACTCGCAATGAACGACGGCAGTTTGACTTTGAAGATCCCAACGGTTGGAAAGATGAGGATCTGCCATCGTTCGAGAAACGGTCTAGTCGATCAGATAACGACTCTCGATCATTTCAGGACTCAAGGTCTGAAAGACGATTTGACCGATCAGACCGCGATTCCCGGCCAAGTTATGATGCTACACGATCAGAGAGACGGTTTGATCGATCAGATAACGATTCTCGATCGTTTCAGGATGCTTCACGGTCTGAAAGGCGGTTTGATCGATCAGACCGCGACTCCAGGTCAGGTTATGATGCTACACGATCCGAGAGACGGTTTGATCGATCAGATCGGGACACTCACTCACGCCAAGACAGAGGCCGGACTGATCGATGGAACGATCAGGACGGTGACTCTGCCGAAGGATCAGCTCCAAAGCGCGGGCGCAAGAAGGAGATGATGCCTATGACAATCAAGTATACCACCGCTGCGTCTCAATTCCTCTACGGCAGGTCGGTGGTCAAGGCAGCTCTCGAGCAGGGCAGGCGGAAGCTGTACAATCTGTACATCTACGGCGGTGAGAACCGTAGGGACAATAAGGACAACACTTTCCTGTCCCGACTTGCCGAGAAGCAGGGCGTCCCCATTACCATCGTGCCCACAGAAGAGCAGCGTCTTATGGACAAGATGAGTATGGGACGGCCTCACAATGGCTTTGTGCTCGAGGCTTCCCCATTGCCTCAGCTGCCGATCCGGTCACTGGGAAAGCTGGAGGAGACTCCGGCTCGCCTGGGCTTCCATGTGGCACTTGATTTCCAGACCAAGGAAGAAGAGGCCATCAACGGCACTGAAAGCTTTTTCAGACGGGCCAACGATGTCATGCCTAAGCCCTTTGTGCTTTTGCTCAACGAAATCATGGATCCTGGCAACCTGGGAGGTATCATCCGAACGGCTAGTTACCTTGGTATCGATGCAGTCGGCATCACCAGCCGGGGATCCTCCACTTTGACACCCGTGGCTCTCAAGTCTGCAGCTGGCGCAGTAGAGGAGATCTCGCTATTCACAGTCGACGACCCGCTCAGGTTCATTGAGGACTCTAGGAAGGCCGGCTGGAAGACGTTTGCTGCCGTGGCGCCTCCCGACCGGAAACTGGTCCGCAAACATGGAGACAAGTTCATCTCGACAGATGTGATTGAGGCCAACAGCCCGCTCAACGAGCATCCTTGCCTTCTTGTCCTTGGCAACGAGGGACACGGATTGTCGAAGCCGCTCAAGGTAGCAGCCGACTACGAGCTGTCGGTCCCTCGATTTGTGCAGGGCAGCTGCATTGACAGCTTGAACGTTAGCGTTGCTGCTGGACTCTTGTGCCACTCATTCGTCAAGGAGCCCCTGGTTGAAGCCAAGCCTGTGCAGGTTAAGGCACCGGCCAAGGCCCCAGAACCTCAAGTCCTAGTCGAAGCAGAGGAGAAGGCTGTTGAAGCTGAAGAGCAGGGGGTGTTGCTCAGCAGCGAGGGCGGTGAGGAAAACAAGGCGGAAGAGGTTGAACTGGAAAAGGCGGACAAGGAGGCCAAGGAGGAGACGACTGAGGAGAAAAAGACTGAAGAAGAAAAGCCCGAGGAGAAGAAGCCCGAGGAGAAGAAATCTGAGGAGAAGAAACCCGAGGAAACAAAAGCTGGGAACGTCGAGATGATGTTCTAAGCTACCAACCATTTCTTGTACCAACACAACACGACGACTCAACACTCATGTACGACTACTACTACGATCGGAAAAGCATCTGGGCGGCGCTTGGATATACGGGAGGCATGTCATCCATGTATGATTACGATGTATAATACGATTAAAGAAAATAGATCTATAAGCGTGCACAGCACAAGCGTCTATGGATTGTCTTGTCGTTGAAATGGTGGTTCTGGAAACTTGCCTTTTTGGGCCGGGACCTGCATGACGTCGCGCCGTCAGAAATTCTTACCTTGCAACGGCTCTGCATCAACAACCGTCACATTAAACAGACTCATGACTCGAATTCTGAATTTCTTTTAATATTCAGTCGAATTTCAAGTTCTCTTTGAGTATCAGTCTTCATCGCCTCAATTCTACAACGTACCCGCATCTTGTGGCCTCACCGCATCCCGTCCCTTACCCGTCTCCCAGCCACCGGATTGTTTACCTACCAAACCTAGCGAGAGAGCCATAGCCATAGCGAGAGCCCGAGCAGCCATGCCACATCAGCCTGACGTACTCTCTCTTGCATGATTTGTTCCCCATCTCGTATCTGTATTTATAGACAAGGAGTTTTGCTTTCCCTCACATTCATTTATCCTCGGGCTGACGCGCGGTCCAGGGCTGTATCCACGGTGGTGTAAGAGCATCCATCCTAGCCCCGTATTCAGCAGCCAACAAGTTCCCCCGCGATCAATACAGCTAAAGAGAGCTCCTCCGGCTTGGAGATACAAACAGCTTTGAGAGTCGGCAATCTAATCTACCACGATGCGATCTGTATCTGCCTTTCTCGCTCTCCCGGCCTCTCTAATCGTGCTCCTCTCCCAAGCTTCAGCCGAACCCGCCGCGCCCACAGCCTTGAAGAAGCTCCCGCCAAACTCCAACGACAAGATCCTCCGGGAACACCTCGCATTTGCGCCGCTGCACATCCTCTCCCCGCGAGAAGCCGCCGCTGCAGCGGTATCGTTCCTGGACGAGCAGGACGACGAGTTCCTAGCCCTCAACGGTACCGAGCGGCGCTTCCGGCCGGCGTTTGCGCCTCACCGCGATGAGGCACGGGATGGCGTTCTGCGCCGGGCAGCCGAGGTCCTAGCTTTGCTACAAAGGAGGTCGTCCTGTCCAGAGGGCATGAACAGCTGCTCCGACATTGCCTCCGAGGTCAAATGCTGTCAGGAGGGGACATACTGCGTTGACGTGGGGGATGCTGTGGCGGGAGGTGTAGCATGCTGTCCCAACGGGGCTTCCTGCGGCGGAGGAGTTGGCGCTTGTCCTTCTGGTGCTACGAGTTGTTCAGAGGATCTGGGCGGCGGATGCTGTATTCCAGGTTATGTTTGTGAAGGGCTTGGATGTAAGTGAACCGTCGACTCATTCTGCCTGCGAGTACTGACGTGAAGTTTAGGCGTCCCCAGCGCTTCTGCAACACGAACGAGTACCGCCGTCCAGAGCTCTACCCAAACGAACTCGCCGATAACGATCACGACTACTCGGACAACCATCATCGAAGGCAATCCCTCTACTGTCGTCGTCACTTTGACCGTGACTGAGACACCCTCGGCAGAGCCCACCACACAAACAACCACTGAAGTCGTAACGGCTTCAGAAGAAGAGACAACAACTGAAGCCGAAGAAACGACCGAGTCCGAAGAAGAGACCACGACTACAACCCGGAGCAGAACAACGGCCACCGGCTCCATCACCGGCGCCCCGCCCTATCGTCCAACAGGCACGACCGTGACCACCTCCTCGTCGAGCAACGACACCCAGACGGGTTGTCCGACTGGTTTCTACGGCTGCCTCGCTACCCACGGCGGAGGCTGCTGCCGTACCGACCGAGACTGCGATGTGCACGACTGCCCGGCCCCGTCAACAACCATCATCTCAGACGGCGCAACTATCGTGATCCTCGCGACCGACGCACCCCCAGCTCCGGGTCCCACGTCAACCTGCGCAGATGGCTGGTTCCTCTGCGGTGCGAGTGCCGGCCCCGTAGCGGGATGTTGCCCAACTGGTTACGACTGCGGAACGGCGAGCTGCTTCACTGTGCAGGCGAGCCAGACTGGAGCCGTGCAGAAGGAATTCCCCAAGGCAGATGCGAGTGTTCGTGAGAAGCCAGCTATGTTGCTGGCAGGTCTCGCGGCGGCATTTGTGTGCTTTGCCCTTGCGTAAAGCATCTTTTAATGAAGATGGTCCTTTCGGGTGGAGAGATGGACAATGTAGATGGGATATGAAGCGTACGTATATAGACTGTAACTTGTGACCATGGTAAGATGATTTAGCTAGATACCCTCGCGGCACGCTTAATGACATGAATCTCAGCTGGGCAGCCATGGCTTATGAGAAGAACTTATAGAATGAGTGCTTAAAAGCAATTCTCTCATCACTTCATTCATCATCAGCAGGTATCATTTCGACACAACAGTCACCAAACCCTGAACATGAAAACATGTGCAATTGGCTTTTTATTTATTTCATCAACTATTTCATTAAGATTGGAGCTATTTGTGCATCCAAAATAATATTCACAATAACACCCCATCAAACACCGTCATCAACATCGTCACTCTGCAGGAACCAATATTTACTCGGGCATGTGGGTGAAGGGCTTGGCGAGATGCTCCTGGCAGAAGGGAAGCTTGCCAACGGTCCAGATCTCGGTGTCCTAACTTAATGTTAGCTCTTGTCAAAGCACCATCACTCGTGGTACATACGGGCTTGAGCTTCTGCTTCAGCTCAGACTCAAAGGTGCCAGCCTTGAGGGCGATGATCTCGGGGGCGGCATCGGGGTCGTGGGCGATGGGGGAACCACACTCGGAGCAGAAGAGGCGGTGGACGATCTTGCCAGAGGAGCCCTTGCTGCCGGAGTAGGTCTTGACGGGGCCGTTGATGGTGAGCTTGTCCTTCTTGACGACAGCAACCAGGGCTGAGAATTGGTGTTAGTTTGGTCAAGATTCGCACAGAGAAGCAATGTCCAGAGGAATCATACAGTAGGTGGAACCGCTCTGGCGCTGGCAGTCGTCACAGTGGTCGTAACCAACGAGGAGGGGCTCGTCCATGTCGACCGTGTATGTGACGGCCTTGCAGAGGCAGTGTCCGGCGAGAGGCATGATGATTGTTAAGGAGTTCGGTAGTTGATGTATACAAGACAAAGAAGCTGTGGAATATGTCACAGATCAAAGAAACTGGATGCTTGAGATATGGAGGTAGAAACTGAAGTCCAAGAGAGCGGGAAGAGCAGAGTTTATAGCTCCAACAGCTTCGAGAGGGGCCACGGCGGGGTAAAAGGCAAGTACCGACCCTCTTTCTCCTCGCTGGTACCCAAGGTGAGACCTGAGGGTGCAGTACGAGTTGGGGTGAGAAGCTCGGCGTTGGTGGGGCCGCGATTGGATGACGTTGAGGAAGATCAGATCCCTCGAGTGAGCGGCGTCAAGCTATCGACGATTGGGTGAGACGGCGGACGGGAGCTGCAGGTCTCAAAGCAACAGGATGGGCAATGGCTCCGAGCTGGCAAACGAGCGCTGTCCCGTATCCATGTTCAAGCTTCATTTCGTGATCTGTAGGATGGTATTGCAGATACTGTTGCTAATTCAGTAGTCAGCCAACGCCATCCCAACTATTCGGGCCATCGGGACAGCGTCACGGTTAGCTCATCCAACGCCCATATGCAGCAGTAAAACCCTCCAACCCCCTGCAGTAAGCTGAGCATGAGGGAACAAACCGCTGTGTGACTGAGGAATTTGTCATTCCTCTAATCGCGAGAGCCTGCAGATTGATGGACGGACAAAGCGGGGCAACGAGACAAGAAAAAAAGATTTGGAATTGGAGAAATTTGGAATTGACCAAGCGGCGGCTCCGTCTGATTGTATTTGATATCGGTCCAAGGGGAGTAATCCTTTGATATCCAAGAGTTTCGTTCCTCATCCAGGCCTGTAAGGAAAGCTCTCCACCAACTCCATCTGTTTGCTTGATCAGAAGCCATGATGCAAGTCGCGGGGCAGTGGAGAGCTCATCGACCAGGGCTGTTCGTGTTGCTGATTGGTTGACTCGCATGAACCTCTCGATTCAGGCTGATTTGATATTCCGAATCCTTACATATCAACGCCAATTCCAAAAAGTTGTCTCTCAAGGGGCGAGCTCGTTATCGAGGAACAAAGGTGCCAGTCGGTTGGTCGGCATCGAGACCATGGTTCTAGTCGATGTATTTCATTTTCCTGCGTCACCTGAACGCCAGGTCGGAAAGTCGCGGGATCGAAGAGCTGATGGATTGATTCCAGTAGATTGCCTTCTTGTCCAAGACAACTAACAATATTTGAATGTCGTTGGTCTCGTATCATGTGCGCAACACTCCATCATGAGAACCTCCGGATCGCCTGGTTGATGAGGGACGCGAGAACCCATGACGCACCCACCCTTGCCCCAAGTTCCATCATGCCAAGCAAGTCAGTGTTGCCAAAGGCGATCCGGTCAGCAAAAAACAGTCGAAGAACAGCCGCTCTGTACGACTTCTTCAGTGTCGTGTTGCCCTGTCCGATGACAAAGGCATCCATCGACGACATGCGAAAATCTCGAATATCCAGACCCTGCGAGGATGACGATACTTGATCCGCCGATGTCAATGGCCTCTCAATCTTCTCTGGTCGACTCCGGAGACTTTTGATCAATTGAAAGCACAAGAAATCGAAAGGGGTGGACGCATGCAGCGGTGGTGAGGCCTTCTTCAGAAATATCTTTGGTAGAAGCTCCGGCTTGTCAACCCAAAGGGTACTGCTTTCGGCCAGCTCGCTAAAGACAGCTTCGAAATCATGGGCATAATGAACGAAGCGCGAGTAAAAGACTGGCGTGAGGACCTTGATCTCGACAGATTCCGCAGTCGTTGAGGAGCCTGTCACTGACGAGGAACTGAAGATATATTCAGCGGCCCCAACAACTCCACTTGGGATGTACCTAACGGTGATCGGGGAGGGCGACTGCTGAACGAGGTGACGCAAATACTGGCGGAATGCATCTTCTAGTTGCTTTTCAATATTGTCGGCCAAGCGTCCCATGCTCTCCCTGAGCGGCTCTGGGCGATACCAGACGTGGAGGCCACGCTTAAAGAAGAGGACGGCAGCTTCTTTGACAATTCTGGGAAACGTGACGAACCCAACCCAGAACCATCCGAGAACAAACTTGGTCTTCTGAAAAAGGCTCATTGAGTCGGGCTCAAGAGCATCGCCCTCAGAAAAGAGTCTTGCAACAAGCTTCGGGTGGCCTTTGGACGATGAAAGATTGATCGTGATGTCAATTCCTCGAAAGCCTTCCATTTCGGGGCCAAGTGGATCGCTAGCCAGCAACGAGTAGGATCCTTTGCGGGAGTTGAAGGGTGAGACGTGAAAGTCTTTCTTCCAAGAGCCCTTCACTCGACTGCGCTGAGGTTCTTGGTCCTCATCGTCGGCAGGGCGGTTCTGGATATGTCGTTCTGCCTCAAAGTCTCGAATGACCAGGTAGGGGCGTCTCTCGCCAAAGGTATTGTTCACCTCAAGAACAATGGCTGACAGGACCTTTTCCTGAGAATAGAGGAACCAGAAGGATACTGGGTTGAAGTGATAGCCCAGGAATCGTGCGGCAGTAACAAGGTACGCATGAGGGTATTGGGAAGGATCAACATTCTATCTTGATTAGCTTTTCATCCTGGTACGGAGATGCTATTTCCCAAACCTGATTCTCAAGATAGTCATCCAACTTTCCACGTAACCCATTATCTCTGTGTCCGCGCTGGAGGTAGTCGTCTGGGTTCACATCAAACCAGGCTCTCCGACCCAAGTAAGACAACCATGAGGATGCGCCAGACACGTTAGCAGATATCATGCCATTGGCGTTCCCCGAGTATCCAACAGGAACACCGATGACGAGATATGAATAGGAAAAGGAGTGCTTCTTGGGAAACATCCGAGTATGGGTGGTGCGACTCGGGACTAAGAATGGACGGCCGGGGCCATCCCACTTGACAGTTTGCACATTGAGAATGCGTCCAAGAAGTCGGTAACCCAGCACTGATGTTGGAAAGATGACTGCAGCGAGAAGTCCGAACTGTGTCAAGTCCAGGCTCTTGATGAGGGAGGTTATTGCCGAGGCATGGTTCCAGCCGACAAAGGCCAACACCAACGATAGATCAACTGTGTTTCCAACAAAGGTGAAATACGCCGAGACTGCAAAGGCCGCCAATGAAGATGCCGACCAATGCTCCAGGAGACGACCAAGAAGGTCTCCAGTGAGGACCACCGGCAGAAGCGGCGAGTCCTCGGACAGACCGTCCATGAGACGGAGGTTTGATGCTCAAGGTATGTGCATTGCTGTTTGACGATGACTGAACAAGACTCTCAGCTACGTTGGGTAGGTGAGAGCTGAGGAGGAAGAGAAGAGGGGAAACACGGTATCTAGAGTCGTCGAGCTTTACAATAACCAATGCTACGTCGGTCCGTCCTGAACTTGTCCATCAAGGTAGCTGCGGTACATACTGAACAATGTCTTGCGGCAACGGCGAGAATTCACCTTAGTCATCCAATTCGCGATAGGAATTGGAGTGCGATGAACGCATCACTTTCTCAGGGTTCCCGCTTTGTCGTCATCGCTTGTCCAGTCACGCCGAGACTGCAAGGGGACCTAAGTGACCTCGGGAGTCTTATGTCAGCCGGAGAACCGGGCTAGGCGTGTCCGACCTGTCCCCGGCAAAGCAAAAGCAAAGCGATCCTTGTCTCTCCCGTTGGTGCCCAGCGGGAGGCAAGGGACGGACTCGACGCTGGTCCAGCCGGAAGCTCTAGCACCTTCTACGGGGAAGACGCGAGCCACCAGGTGGCGGTGCGCGCTGAAAAATTGGAGCAGGAGGCGCTGAATCTTTGTGCCGTGCTGCGCAGTCACTGGCAGTGAGCCTTACCGCCGGGGACAAAGAGGCGCAAGGAGAGGCCACCCACGCACGGTGCAGCAGAGCCCCCCGCCATCCCTTTCAGGTGTCCCGCCGATTGAGTCAGTCTCCATCCATTCCATCACCTTCTCCATAAATTCTTGTCGCCGAACCTCACTTCTCTCGTGCTCAAACAACAAACAAATCACTCAGCTCTTCCTCAACTTCATCTCGTCAACCTCGATCCCTTTTCAAACTACCTCCACTACCAAACAACTATAGCAAAAATGTCTGAGGACTGGGATTCCGCTACCAAGATCGGCTCTCGTGCCCGTGGCCCTGGTGCCGGTCAGCGAGAGACCGTTGTTCGAGGCAAGGCCGCTCTCAACGCTGCTCAGCGAGTTGGTGGCCTTACCACTGAGAAGAAGTACGCTTCTGCCAACGCCGTATGTCTATCCTGCCACGATAGTCACAACACTCGTTAACAATCATCCACAGGGCTCCGCACCCGAGGGTCAGCGCATGACCAAGGTCGACCGTTCAGACGACATCATCAAGCCCAACACCATTGGCAAGACCGTTGGCGATGTCATCTCCAAGACCCGGCAGCAGATTGAGCCCAAGATGACACAAAAGGACCTCGCCACACGCTGCAACACCACCCAGTCTATCGTCGCCGACTTTGAGCGAGGCACCGCCACCCCCGACCAGAAGGTGCTCGGTGCCATGGAGCGTGTGCTCAACGTCAAGCTACGCGGCAGTGACATTGGCGCCCCCAAGTTCCCCAACAAGAAGAAGTGAACGGGGTGACCTGGACGGGTAAAGATTTGTAAGAGGGCTTCAGGGCCGAGTCGAGCGTTAGCGAATGATATCTTGGCTGGGAAATCCGGGAGTTTCGTGTGGGCAGTCACGATGTTTTTATGACATGGGTGCATGAGACTTTTTCTATTTAATCACGAGCATTCAGGATTTGACGGCAGGACGAAAAAAAGGACTCTGACGGGAACGTCGAGTTTTTAGTTCTTGAGAAACAGGACGGTCTAGATGGGACGTCCACCTGAATACATCATCTCTCGTGCATCACGGAGACCTCGAGAGCTCTCAACAATATTGGTTCCTCTGTTTACGTGCCCTGAGACTTCCTGGCTGATAAGCGCATGTTTCACATCTGATTGATGCCCAATAGATGGCTTGAGGCAAGCGGTAAGCCGTTGCCTTGCCCCTTATCAGCATCCACTTGGTTTATACACAGGCCGCCTTGAACTAATCTGACAACCTGGAAAGTGAATTTGCATATGTAGGGCCTCGGGTGCGCGACCAACTTCATCTGCCTTCTTTCAGCTGTGGCCTATTCGTCAGCACCCCTGCAGAGCCAAAACAATGAGAGCGAGCAGGCATGTGCTGCAGTTGGGAGCAGGCTGCGCCTTCTTGGATTGGATTGGATGATGGGACTTGACGTGCCTTCTGTTGGGACAGAACTCAGGCCGTGCGTGGTTCTCCAGCTACAACTACATTCATCTACATGCCAACAATTGGACATCTTTCTGGCAGCCTCGCTGATATTGTCAAGTTGCGGTCTACTGTACCAGCTCCTTCAAGAGCGACAGATAACCTATTTCCCCAGGGAGGATGTCGTGCGGAAAACAATCGGCGATGTCCCAGACAGTTCAGGTTGAAACCGCGCTACAACTAGGAACAACAGTTGTGCGATGTTATCAGTACATCTCAGACCTCTTCAACGACAGTCGGAAGATCTCACTGACCACCGATGACGGCCTTGCAACCTTGCATGATATTATCCAAACCCTCGGGCAGTTCAGCAGGGACATCAGCGCCACGAACCTGACGATTACTGGCCATCTGTTGACCCGTGAACTAGGCATCATTGTTGGAGACTGCAAGAAAGAGTGTGACTCGTTGCGAAATAGCATCCACACATGGCTTCAACCCTTCCAAAGTGGGTGTACTATACGAGTTGGGCCCCGACCATCATCGTTGCTATCAGACATCGTCACCAAATGTCATAGGTGCATCACAGACGAGCCTGGACGCCGCAACATACACTTAGAACACCAACAGCGCGCCATCAAGGGGCTTCTAAGTAACAACCAGTATACCCAGGCAAACCCGCGGCTCTCAAACGGAATCTGACAAACGCATATAGGACCATCATGCTCGGACTGCGTGCTTTGATCATAGATTTATCATCGAAATATGGGAGCCTACAATCACGACGAAGAGAGTCAGTGGCAAACCACACTCTGATGCTTTACCATCAAATCATTCGCTTCCAGGAGGAACAAGATTCCGGCAGAAGTCCAATCACCTCCGAGGCCATCCTATCCCTCTCCGCGGCGGTCGCGAAGCTCTTCACAGAGTCAAGACAGTGTGCTAGAGACATTTTTGTGCTGCATGGTATTGACTACAAACATCGTCCAGCTCGACATGAAGGGATCAGTCCTGCCCACGAGAGGACATTCAAATGGATCTTCAACAAATCCGAACAGGATACGAGGCAATCACATCTCTTGAACTGGCTTCACCACGGTCGTGGCATTTTCTGGGTATCTGGGAAACCAGGCTCAGGGAAGTCCACTCTCATGAAGTACATGGCCGAACATGCTAGCACAAAGACTGCTCTGCAACAGTGGGCGGCAGCCGCTGGCAAAAACCTGACCATGGCTAGTCATTACTTCTGGTATGCAGGTTCAGACATCCAGAGATCTCAAGAGGGTTTGCTTCGGTCCCTCCTCTGCGACATCTTCCAGCAAGCCCCAGAGCTCATCCCGATTGCCTGCCCTGAACGATGGGACAAAAGTGATGCCTTGGTCGAGAAGGAGGAAACTGACAAAGCCCCTTGGACCCTGGCGGAGCTACAGGAAGCGATCGATAGGATTGCGAAGCAACCAGAGCTAAGTGTCAATTTCTGTTTCTTTATCGATGGGCTGGACGAGTTCAGTGGTCAGCATTTGCAGATTTGCAAGTCACTTCTCAAGCTCTGTGCATCCGGCAACATCAAGTTATGTCTTTCGTCTCGACCTTGGAATATCTTTGAGGAGAGCTTTGGCAGAATCCCTGACCAGAAAATCTATATCCACGAACTCACTAAGGAAGATATTCGAAAATATGTCGAGGATATCTTGTGCAGCCACCCTCGCTGGCAAACGTTGCTGCTCGAGTCCAAAAAGTCGGCCGCCCTTGTCAACGAGGTTACTGTCAGGGCTCAGGGGGTCTTTCTTTGGGTATTCTTGGTGACGAGGCTTCTCAGAGATGGCTTGACAAACTGCGATACCCTCGGCGATTTGCAGAGGAGACTGGATCTCCTTCCTTCCGACTTGGAACCCTTCTTCCGACACATGATGGACTCAGTCGAGCCATTCTATCATGAAAAGATGTCGGAGATGCTTCAAATGGCCGTCAAGGCCGGAAAGCCGCTGCCATTTGCCGTCTGCTACTTTCACGACCAGGAATACGAAGACAGCAGCTACGCTCTAGGGGAGCCAATTACGCTTTGGGAGCCCGAGATGCTCAACAAGATACACAACATAGTTATGCGGCGACTCAGCGCGAGGTGTATGGGGCTCCTAGAGGTAAATGGGGGCAAAATCGAGTTCCTTCATCGGACAGTATATGACTTCCTCTCGTCAAGAGGCATGGAACGATTCCTGGAAACAAATACCCGGGAATGTTTCGATCCGCACCTAACCACACTTCAAGCCTATGTCGCCTGGGTGAAGCATGCTACATTTTACGATCTATCAGCTATGGACAGCGCGATGCTTGAGATGGGCGAGTCCCGGCTGAAGTCAACGCTTCTAGAGGTGTTTTCATACGCTCATCAAGTCACCACCGACAAATCATCGCCCGTCAGCGTAGAAGTGCTGTTGGATGAGCTGGAAAAGACGGTCCAAAGAATCTTTCGGACATCCTGGAGCGACCGTCCCAGCGATGTCTCTCGCAAGGCAATTGCTTTGTTCAGATCTTGCGCACTGCAGGCTGTTTCGCAGAAGTATATTGTAACGAAGCTCGAAAAGAACCATGGCTATTTCAGCGAAGTTGGTCTTGACCCGCTTTCACCCATTCTCTGTCAAAAGCTGAGCGACGACAACGAAGGCGATTTGTGGAAACCTGAACAATTGGAACTTCTGCGATGTCTTCTTCGTCATGGCTACGATCCCAATCAAACCCTACCTTCTTCCGAAACTGCTGGATTGGCCAACAAGTTGACTCCCTGGGCAACTTTTACACAGCATCTTCTCCCTCCCGATCGAACCGGCGATAAGTTGCGTAATGGCGCAGTCCAGTTGTGCATCAAACCCCTGTTTCGATCTCATCTGGAATTTAAAGCACCTACCAGGGCCGTATCGGAGGCTTTGCGAACTGGACTTCTCCGGATGCTTCTCGAGTTTGGCGCCGATCCAAACGCCAGGGTCGGTAGCGTGGGATGCAGCTTGTCAGCTTGGGCATATTTTTTCATCATGGCATTATTGGGCCCTGGCCAGGCTTTGCCACATCTTCAAGAGCTTCTCTCCATACTGGACCTCATGCTTTCGAAGGCAGACTTTTCTCGTCACGAAGATGGCTTGACAGACGCTATTAGGGGAATGCTATGGGACAGCAAGCCAGCCGACGTGTTTCCTACCTACGCTTTCAGGCCGCTTGGAAAACAGCAGGCACGGAAACGCATGATGGAAATCATCTGCCTGCGGTTTGATGACTTGCTACGCATTGGAGCGACCGGCGGGTCTGCGAGATCAAACCATACAGCAGAGGCTACCAAGATCTTCATGAGACATGCAGCTCATCCGTCACTACCGATGAAGCCCCTAGAGTCGAGGCTCTATCGAGCCTTTCCTTGCCTTGCGCCTGCTCCCAAGGCTTTACCGAATCCTTTTCTTTCCGATGATCATCTACCGAGGAGTGTGGTTGATAAGAGACGGAGAAGTGAATATGATCCACCTCAACAAAGAAGCTGGAGACCATCAAAGATGTCACGACTAAGATAGTGTTGGGACTGTGTATTTTTGATGTTGGACGGATTTAGAGACCTATTTAATTTTGAATAGTCGGGTGTTGCAAGGCGTAACAACTCGGCCATGGGGATTTTGTAAGTTATGAGGTTGGAGTTTAGAGTCAGTGTAAAAGTTTAAGGATCTGAACTCTTTGCTCACCTTCTTCTCTCACACAACATTCAATTGCAGTATTTTCTAAAGTGGGATCATGTCGAAGGCCATACATTCCAGCAAATATGAAGCACACTTCAAGTCAATGACTAGACTGAGTTAAACGGACCTTTGCAAAAAGTGCAAGTGGACTTGTAGGGTAGCCGGTATGAAGACTCAGCCCAAGGCCTACTCAGATGAATCAAGAGATGTGGTCTATTTTCAGTCGCCTAAACCCATGTATTGATGCTTTGAGGAAACCAATGCCCGACTGAGCTCCAAAGGCAAACTCAAGTAGAACGTAGACAAGATCTCAACAGTTGTCGCTCAGGGAATTCCGTTCCTCTACCAGTTATGCGCCCGTCATTAAAATCTATCAATTCATACACCTAGAGCCAAATCATGCCGAAACCTTGGGGCTGTACTTTGTAGCGGCCTTGTCAAACAGTGCGCTCTTCTCCTCCAGGTCGGCCAAGAACTGGTGGTTGGCGTCGGCGGCCTTGAGCTTCCTAGTCAAGGTTAGCATCAATCAAGTAAAACAGATATTGTACACCTACTCAGTAAACTCCTTGGAGTCGTTGCCAGAAATCACATTCAGGACAAGCAGGTTGGCAATGGCATCGGCCGAGTTGGCGTCCTTCTCCAGAGCTTGGTCCAGGGCGGCTTGGGCCTCTTCTGTCCTGCCGAGGTGGAGCTCGCAGACTGCTTGCGAGACGAGGCTTCGCACTGATGAGGTTGAAGGAGCTTGCGCGAGCTCCTCAAAGACGTAGAACGCCTGTTGGTACTTTTCTCCGCCCTATACGGTCTTAGTGATTTGTCTCATGTGGTAACAGGACGGTCCTTACCACTCTCAATCCAACCCAGGACTCAGCCAGGTTCACCAAGAGACTATCCTGAGCCCATCGTCGCGCAGCAGAGACTTCCTTAAGAGCGAGGTCGGTTCGGTTTTGTTGGAGGTGGATTTGGACGATTAGGGCGACGGCGTCAACTGATTAACAGCGGTCAGCGAAAGGCGACAAGTTTGGGAAGAGTCCCTTGAAACGTACGGCTTCCCTGATGTTGCGTGAGAAGCGCAAGGGCCTCATCAGACTTTCCGGCAGCCTGGAGCACTGTCCCACCAACAATAAGAACGGTTGTGTTGTCGGCCGATGAAGCAGCCAGCTTCTCGACAGTCTTGACGGCAGAGTCGACCTTGCCCAGGCTGAGCTCAGCCAGGGCACCCAGAGCTTCGAGAGCAGGATCCGACTCCCCCTTCACATCGGCGAGGACATCTTCAGCTTGACCGAGGGCCAGTCTGGCTCGGAGGACGAGGACGCGCACGGGAAGGGCGTTGTCAGGGGAGAAGGACGAGGTGTCGAAGTCGATGACCTCCTGGTACTGGCCCTGGTGGAAATGGTTGTGGATGTTGATCAATTCGCCTTCGGCAGAGTAGGGATCCATGTTGGCGACTGTTGGCTATGATACGAATCGAAACTGGCTTCTATAACGGTCGTCCTTTAAACTGTCCTGAGAAGACTTGGTGATGCGCCTGCGAGATCATATGGTGGGGCCTTCAAGTCCACCAAGCAGTCTGAGGTGTCCTTTCGTGGGGGTGGGAGCTTCCCTTGGGTACGTACCTCCCCTAGCCTCACCTCGGTGAGGCGGTGATCATGGTAGCCCTAAATGTCAGGCGCGAAAGTGTGGCTGGTGCAAGCGAGCCACAGGCCCCGCCTGATGGGGCAAGGCGCGGACCCTAGTTGCCCACAAAGAAGAGAAATCCCCCAAAACCTCCCAATTTCGCCCAGTCTCTGGAACTTTGCATCACCAAACCACCCCCAAAGAACGGCACCGCACAACGTCGTCAAGATGGTACGTCGCAACAGTCAATCCAAAGCCCTCTTTCATCAGCAATAGCATACTGCAAGAGATGCGATGCTTTACTCTCGAGCTCTGCGCCCGTCGACCGCCCGCACCATGACAGTCAATCTGGGAGAAAGTGGGATGAATTTTTGTGGTTAAGCTGGAGGGAGATAATTCGCGACATCATCGACAGTCAGCACCGATTCCTCGACGACCAGCCGACTACTCCAATTCTCTGCGCCTCCTACGAAAGACTTCGATTGCTGTCAACTCCCAAGACTGTCTCGTGCGGCGGGCGATGGAACATTTCGAGATTTGACAAAATAAATGACCCTGATCAACCAGGTCGCTAACGCTGCATCGCACAGGTCAACGTTCCCAAGACCCGCAACACCTACTGCAAGGGCAAGGATTGCCGCAAGCACACCCAGCACAAGGTCACCCAGTACAAGGCCGGCAAGGCTTCGCTGTTCGCTCAGGGAAAGCGACGTTACGACCGCAAGCAGTCGGGTTATGGTGGTCAGACCAAGCCCGTCTTCCACAAGAAGGCCAAGACTACCAAGAAGGTCGTGTTGCGATTGGAGTGCGTCAAGTGCAAGACCAAGCTCCAGCTGGCGCTGAAGCGATGCAAGCACTTCGAGCTCGGGTATGTTTTCGAGTTTAGCCACGTACCTACGGAATGCTAACGAATCTGCAGTGGTGACAAGAAGACGAAGGGTGCGGCTCTGGTGTTCTAAGTGCTTTGTGTTTGGGGTCTCACGGTCACCATTTCTCATGCTTACCTGGCGGCATTTGGGCATCACGGACACTGGCGAAGGGAGGTACATGTCCTCGGCTGAGGAATGTTTCATAGGGAGTGAATCAAAAAAAATCTCTGTGACTGCACCAACAGACTTTCCGCCAATGTTTGGCACAATGTCGTGAGGTGCTCCAAGGCCGGCGTCCGGGGTTGAGTCATACCCAGGTAGCCAAAAGATGGACTCAAGGCGGGGTGAAGGGTCTGAGGGAAAAGTTGACAATTATCAAAACTCGGGCTTGCTGTCTGTCTATCTATCTAGTTGGCACTACATCTAGAAACCCTCTCCCAACATGATGGTTCTGCCACCTCCATACCACAATGTGCCGTTCCGCGCATCGAGTCCCTTCTCCTGGCCGACGATCCACTCACCCACAAACTCGGAGTCAGGGTTATCCCAAACTTCCTTCTCTAGCCACTGGTTAATCTCATCAATGACTTTGACCCAGCTGGCCCTCTTCTCAGGGGTGTCATGGTCTTGATGGTTGAGATACCGACCAAGCGTGATGTGTGCGCTGGGAACCTGATATCTAGATCCAACCTCAACACCACCAGCCTGTACCTGGTCGAATACATCACGACGGAGGTGATGGTAGGTGTAGTCATCTCCTTGCGTGATACCATCCGTAACTATAGGCTCCACAGGGGGCGGTGAGAGAGAGGCTTCGCCCGCCGCTGGGAGGAATGAGACGGCAAAGGCGGAAAGATCGTAAGAGATCATGGGCTTGACGAGGCGTGACCTATGCGAGTAGGGGTAGTTGACAATTGAGGGGATTGATGGTCGCAGCGTAGACACCAACGAGGCAATCTCATCGGGAGTCTTGGAGAAAGCAATCTCGAGCGCTGTCAAGTGCATCCTGTGAGTAGGCATAAGCCAAACATCTAAGTCAGATGTCAGTGAAAGCGATACAACTCATCTTGGGGGTTACTCACTTGGGGCAGCCTGCTTCAGCAACTCCTGCAACTTAGCCGCCAGGCGGACAACGTGATCAGGTGGCCTTGCCCAAAAGACGAGACAGTTCCTCGGGTCGCGGAAGCCCGGCTCAACAGTTTGATCTTCGAGCCTCAGGAGGTACTGGTCGATGATGAGCTCCTTGAAGGCGGAATCCAGGAACTTTTCGGCCTGCTGGGCGTTTCTCTTTGTCCGGTGGACTGAGTAGAGGGTCTGAATCTCGGCCTGGACCAGATTAGTTGGGAGGCTTCAGGGAAACTGTGAATACTTACGGGATTGTTGTTGCACGTCCTTATGAGGGCCGTGTAAGGGTTCTCTCCTGGCTGAAGCTGGATGCCAGAGAGATCCTCAAGCTTGTTGCGAGCATCGGTGAGTTCGAGTTGAGCCACCATTGTGAAGGAGTCACGCTGGAATGACTACTTTTCTTTGGCAGTTTTAAAAACACTCAGTGATTATGAAAGCTGTTTGGATGAAACTCCAAACTTAAATAGCTTCCAACATTTTTATGGGCATCGCTTGAAGTCGTCGTGATGGAGCCTCCAAGACCAGGAATGCCGGATGACTAATCCTTCTAACCAGCTGCATCTCAGTTCTCGTATTTGACAATTACAACGAAAACTATTCTCGTCTTTTCTTATCCAAGAAGAGTCAGGCCGGACGGGGTATTCTAGTCACTTCAAGCCTAGCTGAAACGTGGTTGTTTTCTTGGCTTTTTCTGTTAAAAGTTGAAATGCTTCATTTGGATGGCATCTCGTCTGTGTGAACTCAGCCACCACCAAGTTACGCAATTAATTGACCCTCAAATATCGCCTATATTTATTTTTAATTCACAATTTCCCAGAGCGACCTGTCCTGACAACCGGAACCCGCACCCTAATCTTTGGCTCCTCCGGCTCAAAGATGGAGAGCTGGCAGTCCTCCTCTGCAACTCCGCTTGCAAACTGCACAACCAAAAAGTCCAGCGTCGTCGCCTCCTTGCCCATTGCCACCATTGGGGCGTGCCATGTTCCGGCGCCGTAGGTGACGGCTTGTCTGTTGGTCGCTACAAAGGCGCGTAGGCGTCGTAGGTCGGGTAGACCTCTGCCGGGTAAACCGTCGCCAGTTGGTACAGGGAGGCCTTCATCCAACGGGCTTGGGGGAAGACTGGGTGCGACGATAACCAGATACATTGAAGAGGTAGACATGAGCGGGGAGAAGGTCTGCGACGTAAAAGGGTGTCTCTCCAGTACACTGACGGTGAACTCGCGTTGAGAAGGGTCGCCGGTCTCCTTGAGTTGACGCGCCTCGCAGACGAATTGGCTCATGATGAGCTCGCCATTGCCACTGGGCGCCTGGTCGTAGAGGTTCTTAGGCTTGCTAACATGGCTGTACTTGATGGCGGTTCCCTGGTTCGCCGAGACACCTTCATACGGAAGTTTGCCGCCCTGCGAGGCGTAGGCGGTGGGATGTAGGTCTGGTCGAGGGTTGGTGACGACGTCGCCAAAGGGCGCAAATGCCTCCTGCGTGAGGCGATCGGCCGTGACTTGAATGTCCAAGTCGCTAATGTTGATTGTCACGGACATGGTTGATATACAGAGTCGATGTGATGAAATGAGGAGTGACGTAGCTAAGTTTGGAGTTTGTGGTTGAAGCTCGGTTTCTTATCTCGCGGCACAGTGGAAAGTGGGTGTGACTCTGCACTATCGAGAGTCGCGGTGTAGCTATCACAACCGGCAACGCATTTAATAATGCGGCATACTAAGAGTATCAGATAGTTTTCAAGTATACTCTATCTCAAAGTATTTAAATATATTGTTTATCATCTTATTAATCGCATGACAATGCATGTTTGCTCGTAATCCTAACCAACTTTATTTGTGTTAACTATCAACCGAGAAAGCATCAGGCCAACCGTAAACTTCGTAATAGTGTTGGGATAAATAGGTAGGTACGTATTAAATCCATCCAATTTAAGTCCCACATTGCCAACAAAAACCCAGGACTCATGTATCCTACGATTCACGATTTTCTCAATTGAACACATTGAGTCCTGGTTAGGAAGCTTACCCTAGACCTGAACGTGACAATCTGAGTGCATTGAGATAGTTGACTCTTGTCCATACATACACCTTGAATGTCTCTTTTCTGTCCAGTTGATACTCCTAAAGCTCAATAAAAGCTTCCAAATATTATTTGACCATTCCAAGTAGCCTGCATATGCAAGTCTAGCTTTCGGACTGACATTTCCGAAACATGAAGCCAATGACAACTGCACCTCAAACTCCACGATGTAAGTGGAGCCTGTCACTCTTCGGAATTCAACCCCGGCCGTCATGTCGGCTGTGTATCGTTGCGGGGGGGTTCAAATTCATGCTTCATGAATGGTTGAGATAGGCATTGATTTCGGGAAACTCGAGAAAAAACATGTGGACGGAGAGAAGCGCGAATGCGTAAAGAGGGAGATTTGTTCATATTGTGCCTTGGTGGTCATGTATAAAGAAGAAGCCTTAGGTCGTAGAAACCATGGATCAAATACCACAAGCAATTAGTTTCTGTGAGAAACGAATCATATCAAAGAGCAGATCCCACCGGCAAAATGTCTATCCCCGCAAACCTCCAAGTAGCCATAGCTGGTGTCGGCCGCATGGGTAAGCTCCTCCACCAAGCACACAACACTCGACGACACCCTCTCACCACTAGCATCTAGGACTACGCCATGCAGAGCATTTTCATAGGCTGGTCGCAGACGCGGATCTCATCGCTGTTAGTTCGCCTGTGCAGGCTGAGCTCGATGCTGCCAAGGCTTTGGTCCCCCAAGTGAGGACCTATCTCTCATACGATGAGATGCTCAATGCCGAATCTACGCTTCAGGCGGTTGTCATTGCGAGTGCTGTATCTGTTCATGCAGAGCAGGCTATCAAGGCTATGGAGAAGGGCCTCCATGTGCTTTGTGAGAAACCTCTCAGCCCAAGCCCAGAGATTGTATGTCCACCAAAATCATAAATCTCAGTCATTGGCTAACCACAACACAGTCTCAGCAAGTATTGGATGCGTACAAAAAGTCTCTCAAGAAGCACCCCAAGCAAAAAGTCATGTGCGGCTTTTCAAGGAGATTCGATGCCTCTTACCGAGACGCTCACCAAAAGGTGATGAGCGGAGATCTGGGCCGTCTGGCCGTGTTTCGATCGCAGACGTGCGATCTGCTAAACCCTGAATTCTTTGCTAGCTACCTCAAGCATGCTGCTGGCATTTTTATCGACACGTCTATCCACGATGTTGATCTGGCTCTTTGGTTCTTGGGACATGACAGTGTAGTGAAGACCATCAGCTCAGCTGGTGTCACTGCTGTTCAGCAGGACATGCTTGACCATACCGACCGAGACAATGCATTGGCTATCATTGAGTTCTATGTAAGAACATCCGATATACTCATATTGATTTCAATTGACCTCGAACTGCAGGATGGAAAAATTGCCCAGATCTACGCTTCACGCATGATGGCAGCTGGACAAGAAGACACAACCGAACTCATCTGCACAAAGGGTAAGGCTACGGTAAACGCCCAGCCGCAGACAAACCTGGTCAACGTCCACGATGCGAATGGCATCAGAAGACAAGTCCCTGGCGACTACTACGGTCGTTTTAGGGAGGCCTTTATAACTGAGGCACAAGAGTTTACCGACTGCTGCCTCCACGACAAGGAGCTCCCCGTGAAACTCGAGGGAGCCGTCAAGGCCGTGACTATCTGCTGTCTGTTGCAGGAGAGTCTGATCAGTGGAAAGAAGATTGAGTTTGACGAATCTGGTCGACGATTAACACCTGCAACCGACGTCAAGGGTAGCAAGCTGTAATTACGATTATCATGTTGATGCAACACTAGAATATACAAAGAGGGAAACAAGTTTCAAACGTTCCCGTCAGTTCCGTGTCAAATGCCGAAATGCCGTGCGGAGCTCCGCTATCGCTCCGGCCCCGCGAATCGGGCGGCCTCATCCACAGCGGAAGCAGGGAGCCGGGAGGAGTCCTTTCCCTGCTCCGTCGGTCGGACAAGGCGTGGGGCAAAGATTGCTTATCTCATTGGACTCTGGTTGGGCGTTGTCGCAATTGCTCATCAAGCGAGAGCAACGGTGAATGTTGAGATTTCGAATATTGCCTCAGACACGTTCGTTTTTGTTCATTCTCTAACTTTGTTGATTGTGAAGAGATCTTTAAACTGAAACTGGATCTATCCGTATAAATGCATGGTAAACCCGACAGTGACAATGAATCCGAAGTCTCGGAGCATCATGACCCGAGCTCTCAACACCACGAGACAACTCAAGACTCGACTCGTCCTCTCAACCAAGTAACAGAACCCGATGGCCTCCTTCCCCCGAGCCCAGGCTCAACACCAGAGCCAAAGGGTAACGAGCCCGTCGCTTGGTCCGACCTCCCTCAGAAACATCAGCTCTTCATCATCACCCTCGCCCGCATGAGCGAACCCCTCGTTCAGTCTTCTCTTCAGGCCTACATGTTTTACCAGCTCAAGTGGTTCGACCCAGACGCACCGGATTCGACCATCTCGGCGCAGGCTGGTGTTCTTCATGCTAGCTTCACCGCTGCTCAGTTCCTCACGGCCATGCTCTGGGGCCGTGTTGCGGACTCGCGTCGAGCAGGACGCAAGACGGTTCTACTCGTAGGTCTCTGCGGTACCAGTCTATCTTGTCTGGGCTTTGGATTTGCTACGTCGTTCTGGCAAGCCCTCTTGTTTCGGACTATTGGGGGTGCCACCAACGGTAACGTTGGAGTTATGAGGACTATGTAAGCCATGGTTGTTAGACTACTCGAGGAAGCACTTGTTAACCATCAACAGGATCAGCGAGATCATCAGAGAGAAAAAGTACCAGTCAAGGGCCTTTCTCCTACTTCCCATGACCTTCAACTGCGGCGTAATCCTGGGTCCTATCATGGGCGGTCTCCTATCTGACCCAGCGGGCAGCTACCCTGGTCTCTTTGGCAAGGTCGACTTCTTCCTAAAGTATCCATACGCAACGCCAAACATCATTAGCTCAATATTCCTCGCCATTGCTGCGCTGACAGTCTGGCTCGGTCTTGAGGAGACGCTCGACGCTCTCCGGGATGGCCCGCAAGATCTTGGTTCGCGTCTTGGGCATAGATTCGCTTCGCTGATACGGAAACGGTTCTCATCAGGTGGCCCACATTCAGGCTACACTGCTATTCCAGCTGAAGACGTTGAATTGGCACCAGAGGGTGAAGCCACGACGAAGCGTCCGGCAAGACGATATACTCAGCGCCTCCCCTTCAAGCGAATGTTCACACGCAACGTCACCATGACCTTTGTCGCGAGCTTCTTGCTTGGAGTGCACATTGGCACATTCAACTCTCTCTGGTTCGTCTTCCTGTCAACCCCGGTTTGGAATCCAGATACCTCGGAGCACCCGCGCCATCTCCCATTTCTCTTCACTGGTGGATTAGGTCTCCCTCCTCGGTCTGTGGGACTCGCAATGGCGACCCTGGGCTTCATCGGCATAAACCTGCAGTTATTCCTCTACCCCCGCATCTCGGCACGTCTGGGGACGACCAAGGCCTGGCGATTCTCCTTGTTCTGCTTCCCTATTGCCTACTTTCTCGTCCCGTACCTCTCAGTCGTCCCCAGCAGCGACTCTTCCCCTCCCCCAGGACCCAAGGGAGGAATTGCCATCTGGCTGGCTATCTGTGGCGTCCTCTCGATTCAAGTCCTGGGCCGAACTTTTGCGATTCCAAGCCAGACTATCCTCGTCAACAACTGCTCGCCCCATCCAAGTGTCCTCGGTACTATCCATGGGTTAGGCCAGAGCGTGGGAAGCGCAGCAAGGACAATCGGTCCAATGATTGGCGGTGTAATCTACGGCTTCGGCCTTAACAAAGGCATGGTCGGCCTGGTATGGTGGATTCTCAGCTGTGTTGGTATCTGTGGCATCTTGGCCAGCTTGTTCGTCAAGGAAGGGGATGGACACGAGATATGGCTCCCAGGTGACGAAGATGAGACGATATCAGACACGGATAGAGGTCACGTCACAGCGCGAGACTAAAGTGAGTCATATGCTTCTCATGTTTCATGTTATGGAATGTCATCCGCTCAAACGGTTGACTCTGGGCGTTTCAAGCCATCTCGTCGTCACATACCTGGTGACGATTTTTGCCATGCCCACTCATGATATTTCAGACCAGTACCATTAAACGCCAAGCATGTAAACCCCCAGACATTAAAAAAATCGCTCAAGTAAATTCCCTCGGCCGTTGCTCGCGACCAATGTTCAGATCCGACTCGTCATCCTTTGCCTCTGACCTCCACGGCGACGGCGTAGCAGGCGACAAAGGAGCAAGCCCAATTGGCTGGTTCGAAGGGGGCTCATAGCCGGGAGGAGGCTCCGAAGGGTAGCCCATGTGTTGGGGAGGCTGTTGTCTCCAGGGCTCGGCGCTGTAGCCGTGGGGACCTGCAAGCCCAGGACCTCGGGGACCTCGGCGTCGCTTTTCGATAAATCGGCGGCCGTAGATGAGAATGAGGCTGGTGAGGCAGATAAAGATGATGAGGATAGCCAGGAGCATGCCCCATTTCCGGTTAAGAGCCAAGGTGAAGCCCCTAGACAGGTTAGTGATGCGAGGACGAGGGATAGTGGGCCAAAGACTTACATGAAGGCATTGAGGGTGCCCAGGAAGAGAATGATACGACCAACCCAGAGATGAACCCTGCCGTATTTTGTAGGTGCCTTGGTCTTCTTAAACTGAGTGTGGTGCATGACTCCCAGGCCAAATTGTCCCAGGAGTAAGCCAGTAACCATGAACCCAATGACTTGGTGAGGATCGTTGAAGCTGCGTGACTGGAACGGTTGTTAATTACTGCTTCCGTACAATAAACATAGTCACATACTCGTTGATAGTAGAAACTGTTGGCGACTCCAATTCCAAAGCCAGCAAGCACGCCAACTGTGGCAATGACCTGGTTCAGAGCATGCCACTTGACGCCGCCTCCCGATCTGAGCAAGACCACACCAACAGGCATGAGGAGGACAATGGATAGGACCATAAAGACGCCGTGGACCGGCGACATCCAGTTCGGCTTCGGCTTGAACCCGTCCTCGGATAGGAGCTTGGAGCCGACGTTGGTGGTGGAGTCGTTGATGGACGGCAGCTCAGACTTGCCGTGCGTCCTCCCCACGTCAATCTGAAATACGCCATAGCCCTTGTGGTACTTGAGCGGCGCATCCTGCTCTTTGCTGTGGTAGTCCTCCTTGGGCCCGTAGGCGTAGATGGCCTTGTTGGTGTTGTATACATCCAGCACTCCTCTGCCCGAGTCCTCGCCTGGCCAGCTGCGGCAGCGCTCCATACACCGAACTGTCATGTACATATAGTCGCCCTTGATACCCGACTTGGATTCGAGGATATCGTACTTCATGTCTTCATAGTACTTGGGCTCGTAATGTCCGTAGGCGGTACGGGGCGAAAAGGTGACGCTCGAGCCGTCGGGGTGTTTGTAGATGATAAGGTAGAGAGCTCCCGGCATGTCCGGGCTTCCAAGGCCTACGGCGCCCCATGACAGGTCTTTCTTGACGCGAAGACTCCAGTAGACTTCGGTGTCGACGTTCTCGCCAATGTCGATGGCAAAGGCGACATTGCCGTCTGGAGAGACAAAGGTGGATTGGCCGCCCTCATCCTTGTCGTCTTTGGCGATGGAGAATGGTAAGACTGAGAGGTGAGTGGTGGTTAGTAAGAGCCCATGTAAATAATTGTTTGGGAGTAGTGCTGATTACCTGCTGTCGCAGCCAGGGCGGCACGCCATAGGTTGCGAAGCAACATGATGTTATCGCGAGATGGAGCTGATCAAAGCGAAAGCAGTGCAACAGCTTCCAGCACGCGGGGGAAAAAGGTGGAGGGAGGGAGGATAAACAAGAGATGGGAGAAAAAAAGAGGGCAAAAATGCAAGAAAGAAGAAAAGAAACGAATTGATGCCAGGCTATCTGTCACGGCCCCGTAAACACGAAGATCAGGGAGACCAAGCGTGGAAAAGGAGGCGCGCCACTAATTAACGGAACGACTGCATACGGCAGATGATGTGTGTGTGATCTCTTTGTGCGTGTGTGTGAGTGAAAGTACCGTGATGTGTAATTTCACGAACCGACCGGGGGAGGAAACATCCAATTGACACGCTCTTCCATGTGACGATGCATTTGTGTCCAAATCGTCTTGTCTCAGAACATCAAGAGGGAGCTTCATTCCAACAGAAAGGGGCTTTTGCTTCCCTTGCGTTACCTCTGCCATTCCACGTCTTTGTCAAGTCATCCAAACATAGATTCCCGATGACGAATCCATTACCTTCCCTCCCTCGTATTCTTGAACCCAAAAAAAGTACCAACCTCATGTCATTATCCCTCCCGAGTTTATTGACAAGAAGCCTTGAACCCTGGTCCAAATCGAGCATCAAGGTTGGTTCGCGGGGAGCATGGAAAGCACAAGCTTCCCCCTGTGGAGAATGGGTTAGTGCAGCTAGTCAGGGCACCTTCCTCCCCTGGTCCATCCGGTTAAGGTTGCCGCTCTGACCAATGAGACCCGTTCTTTTACCACTCGATAACGTTTGTTGTTCATCACCACCACCACCCACCACCCACCACCACAACACCATGGCAACAACATCTTGTTGCACAACGTCAACATGAGTAAAAAGAAATAATCATCAACAACCCCCCAAAAGAGGAAAAAAGAATGCGTAATCTGGGAATCGAACCCAGGGCTCCCCGACGTTGCTCGAATGGCAACGGAGAATTTTACCACTAAACCAATTACGCGTCAAGTGCTGAAGAGCTGCTTCAGCTCCACTTGTTGGAGACGGAGGTCCAGAATTGCCCTCTTCACCAGCGGACCAAGACAGAAGAACCTGGGCGTAGACAACTCGTATAATAGCTGCTTTGATTCTGCGTAATAATCGATAAATAGTTAGAGTAGATTCATTATATTATAGCCCGTTCAAAGACACTTGCACATCCATCGCGTCTCCAACATTCACCCAGTCCAACTACAACACCTGTCAGCTAGCTCCTCACAGCTACCTTGGTCAACTTACAAGAACAACATTCGGCCGTCTTCCCCAATTTCCTTCGCAGAGATCTATCTGCTTCTGGATTGACTCGGCCGAGTTTGTCTTTGCTGCGTCAATCTGATTGGGTACCACAATGCCCAGAATGTTGTGGTTGAGCATGTGGTTCATGATGCCCATGAGCTTGACCGGGTCACCATTATCTGGCCGGTCGACGTCGCAGCTTGGGAATGAATCATCGGTCACACCGTATGAAGTTTCCCAGAAGTAGTCGAATTCGCTGATGATGTAGTCGACCTTGTTCTGGTCCATGTGGTAGTCTTAACGTAAGTTAGCATAGTGAATAACAGGTTGGCTGCCAGTGAGGAGAGTACCCATAAACACAATGAGACGAGTTCCATCGTTAAGTAGTGTCTGGAGCATTGGCCACTCATCCAGGGCCAACTTCTTCTTCGGGTGGAAAACAAGGTCCTTAAGACCAGTGCTTTCAAAGGCCTCGTCAAACTTCTCAACCGACAGTCCATCAATGTTGGTCAAGAGCAAGGTTACAACTTCATCCTTATTCTTGCCCATCCAGTCAGAAATATCTTGTAAGTAATCTTCCAAAGGTCCCTCGTCGAGTTCCCAGCAGTGAGTGTGGCACATCTGGATCTCACCATCCTTGTCCTGTGTTTGTGCTTGCAGAAACCGCACTCCCATGTCGAGTTGCTCCGTCACTGACTTGTACTGATTGTGGACTGGTGTTTCTCCCACAAAGGCGCTGTTGTGGGTGCCTATAAAGGTAATGTCGGAATATTTGCGGTCACATAGCTTGTCATGGCCGTTGCAAGCTGCCAATGCTGCAGCAACAAGGGGCAATATCCGTACGAGGAACATGATGAAGAGTATTTGTAGAGAGTGAGTCGAGTAGAAAACCTCACACGGGAACGAGTAGGGCATTTATCACTGATATAACATGGCATCCATCTCAATGCTGCTCGCCACTGCACATAGCCCCCAAGGAGGTTACCGAGGAGGATGTTTCAGAGCGCTTGTACAGTGAATCACATGCATACATATCACGTCAAACGTCAGAAAATGGTCAGTGATCCTCTGATCTGGTAACCTATTTTCAGGTGTTTCTTATGCGCTGATCCTAACAGTGCCAGTGGGTTGCAACGCTGGCATGGGTGGTGTGGCTGACGCTGAGTTTGAGGCATGGAGCACCTATTAGAGGCTGGAGGAATTAAAACATTGAACGTTAATAACCGCTCTATCGGTAGGGTAGCGTTGACAGAAGGAATGTCTTTGATAGATGATTTGTCCATTGTTCTGGTTTCGCAAGGTGAAGCTGAAACCGACCAGGAGTTTAAACTGATGATCTAGCATGATCGATCAACGATTGGGCGCAGACAAACGTGGCGGTGCATTAGATGGTTTGACATGAGTGACTTTGATGCTGACCAATATCGGCTCTTTGTTCTCTAGAATATTGTTGTCAAGCGGTGGAAGTTGAAGGAATGAAATCAAGCAATAGTCCAGGCTGTAGCGTTGGACCCACTCTGACGCATTCTCATCAACTAAACACCAACGAATGTCTCTCTGAGACACGGCAACCTGGCCACATCCAAGATCAACCAACTTGCGCCTGGTTGATCTTTTGCCATTCATTTTCTTGGAACTTGCCTTTCTCGTCTGCTGGATGAGTTTACCTTCTCTTTAGACCACAAAACGCATCGCTTGATGCTTCATCGCCCAGCATGTCGAGCTACCTTTCCATGTTAGGCTGGGCCTTTCTTCCTGGCGTATGCAGCCTCCGTCCATCATGACACCCTCTCCGACGGCTAACTTTCTTGCAGCTCGCTACCTCATGGGTACAGACCATTTACTATGGCATCACCATCCGCGCCGGCGACCCTAAGCCCACCCCAGGCTCGGCACGATTCAACTCGCACCGCCGAACCATCCACATCCTCGTCGTAGCCATCTACCTGGCCTACACCATCTTCGAGGCCGACTACGATCAACGTCGAATGTCCTCCTACTATGCCGACCTTGGCGTGCCCCTCAACGCGACCGACCGCGATATCAAGTCCCGCTTCCGACGCCTTGCTGCCATGCATCACCCAGACAAGGCTGGCCGCGATGCCACAGATTCGGCCGCCTTCTTCATGCACCTCAAGCTCGCGAGCGACACACTACACGACGCCGTGAAGAGGTTTGCGTATGAGCGCTTCGGACCCGAAATCGCGCGCTGGCAAAAGTGCGTCACGATTAGAGACTACGTCACCCGCGGAATCGTCTCGGGCATCCTGCCTCACTACGCTGTCGCTGCTGCGTCAATCTACGTTCTCGGCCTGTTTGGGTACATGGAGTTTGGCAAATACTACCGCTGGCTCATCCTCATCACTCTTTGCACTTTCGAGCTTCACACCGTCATGCGACCCGACTTTCCTCATTTTGTTAATGCTGTCAACGCTGTCATAGCTCGTGTCAGCTCTCTCCCACCATATCTCCCATTTCAGGTCATTTCGTTGGCCCGGCGGCTTACTATTACCATATACATTGCTCTCAACCAGATCGGTCCCCTTCTCGTGGCTCAAGTCAGTGGCCAACAAAAGGCAGACGACAAGGACGAGAAGGCTCTGCAAGAAAGCCTCAACCGTCTTGAGATGTTGACAAAGCAGCTCGACGGTGATGCTGTGCGGTTATTGGACATGGAGATGGCACCTTACAAGGGAGATGCTGAGGCCGCGTCCAACCTTCAGGGCAAGATGAGGGAGTGGCTTGTGCAGAATACTATCAGAGCAGACCCTATGGTGAGGGATGCCATGGGCACGTCACTTAGGAGGAGGAGAGTTGATGCACCTGTGGGCGCCAAGGGAACACGATAGATAGACCAATCCTGAGCCTAATAAACATTTTGAATAGACGATGGCTCCAAATACCTATGTGAACGCCTGATGTTGAAAAGAACAACGCCAACCAACCCTTACAAATAAGACATAAATGCATGCCGTACCCAAGACCACTCTTTGACTCCAAGTCATTAGTATGCGTGTGTTGAGTTTAACCGGGACCCCTGGCCAACCGACGCATGGTCAGGGGCTCTACAAGTGTCTATTAATATGTTTCCAATATTTAGGACTTTATAGGCACTGAGCACCTCTTGTCTCGATAGGAATCAAGCAAATGGCAACAAATGCTGATAGAATGAGGATAGCGGACATGATGATGGGCGTAGTAGCACCATCACCGGGAACTGTAGCCGCAAGGACGGGTGCCATGAGGCCAGTGACGCGGTTGAGGAAGCTGGCCACGCCGGTACCAGCTCCACGGACAGGGGCAGGGAAGATCTCGGGCGTGAAGGCGTAGAGGACGCCGTACATGATGTTCTGAGCAAACGCTTCAACACACGACATGAGCAGCTGAGCAGTCGAGGTCGTGCCGTAAAAGACAAAGAGGAAGAGGAAGATGGCGGAAAGGAGAGTAGAGCTGGCAAGAGTTCCTCGACGGCCGAAGAAGGGTGATGGGTGGTCGACGAGAAAGGCGGCCAGCAGAGAGCCGGGGACACCCATGATGGAGGCTATAGCATAGTTGCGATATGTCTCTGATGAGATGGTGTCCGTCTCGGACTGCAAGTCCTTGTTCGAGTCGGCGTGTGTACGGGCAAAGTACTGAGGAAGAAAGGCGTTGAAGAGAGGATATCCCATGCCAATACTGGCCCAGGAGAACCAGATGAGCGCCGTAGCGAGTCCGAGAGTCTTGTTTTTGAATAGGGGGCGCAGGCGCTCCCCGGAAATAGATCGAAGCTTCTCTTTGAGAGCATCCGCCGCAGACTGCTTTGGCCTTCGCTGCTCCGTCACACGAGGAATGCCCTCGTCATCATCCTCAAGAGCAACTTGATCAAGCAGGTCCGAAGTAAGCCACGTCTTTGTGCCGTTGCGGTAGGCTAGTCCGTGGATGACGGCGACGGCCTCGTGCTGTCGACCCTTGTTGAGGAGAAACTTGGGCGATTCGAACAGATGGAAGATGAAGAAGCGGACGACAAACATGGCAAAGGTGATGACGCCAATGGTGACCAAAAAGTATCTCCAACCTTGCTCAACGGGCCAGTTGGCGACAAAGTACCACGCAACGAGCGAAGAGGCAAGCTGACCGATGGGCCACCACACGGACAAGAGTGTCAGGAGAGCGCTGGAAGCATCGGGGAGGAACTCGAGGAACAGGGCACCGTCGACGGGGAGGTTGCCGCCGACACCGAAACCGAGAGCGGCGTAGAAGAAACAGACACCGCCCCAACTCTGGGCGTAGGCAGCCATGATACCAAAGATGCTGGTGATCAGAAGGGTCATGTTGAAGGCGATGCGACGGCCCAGAAAGTCGGAGCCGATACCCCAGAAGAAGCTGCCGATGGAGAGACCGACGAATAGGGCGCTGGTTGTGTATCGTACCGTCTTTTCGTCGACGCCAAACTCGGCTGATAGAGATGGGAGAGTGAGGGAGACTCCCTGCATCCAGAGGTTATCGGCGAACCATCCACAGCCGCAGAGTACAAACAGCTGCCAATTATAACTGCCCATGCCGATATCTCCAACCGCCTTGTTCATGAGTTTTGACTTGACTATGCCAATGTTAGCTTCCAATGTCTTGAGTTGTCCATGCTCATCCACTTACTCTCATATGTCGTCCATCGTCCTTGTCGCCCTTCCCTCATCTCCTTTCGTAGACCCTCAATGGTGTACTCGCCGGGGTCACCCCCAAGCATTCCCTCACGCTCTTCCTTGGCCTCCAGGTCATCGAGTTCGCCCTCAACCTTTCCATTCTCGGTAGACTTTTTCGACTTTGCCGCTTGGCTGAAGAGATGGGCCTCATCCAACGGCACCAAGACGCCGATGTAATCATCCACCGATTCGACATACCCCGAGCCCAAGCGCCACGAGATTCTCATTTCTGCGATTGGTTATGTACGACGCCGCCTGGACAGATAAATAATGAAAAGAGTAGTGGAAGGAAAAAAGAGGGCAGAGAGGTCGTGCAAAGTGATGCGCACGTGACTCCCTGCCTTTCAAATCCGGTATGAAACGAAGGATCGTGTGAGTGCGTCAGTGCCTGCGTCACTGGGGCGGAAGACCCGATAAGTAAGTTCCCAGCGAGCGCTAAAAAGGTGACGAGGAAAGATGGAAATAAAAATGAGCGACGGGCTTTTAAAGATCAGTAGAAAAAAGAAGAGTCTACAGAATAAAACATCAATTGTAGATGCAAAAGGTGAGACAAGGTGGCTCTCCAAGCCTTGAAGAGGACAGCTCAGAAGGTAATAATAGGAGTTGAGAGGCGTCCGAGGTTTGATGATCCCCGTATTTTCCAGGGGCTAGGCTCCATGGATCTAATGTCAGGCGGCGCTAGAGCTAGCAATCCCATCCCCAGGGACGTCGGGATCGTGTAGGACACCGTTATCGGTCATGACGGTTCACGATGGGTTAGATCTACATGTATTGATGGATTTAGTGATGCTGATGTTGAGTTTTGTTACATATTGATAGCCTGGAGAGTAATATGAGTACTCTGCACAACTCGTCCAGACGCTGAAGAGCACTGAAGCCGCATAAAGCTGCATCAGAGCTGATCACCATCGGCTTCCCATCCGATATTTGCCAATGCCCAAGTTGCTGATCAAGTTCCTGATCTCCAGCGCTTCCAAGCGCCGGGCGGGGGGGCGCAGCCGAACACTTGGATCAGCCGCATCCAATTGTTCGAGATTGCCCAACCTGAGGATGATGATGCCCGCCATTCACCGGATCTGGAAGGCAATCCTAAGCTCTCTCCCTCTCAGTATGGAATTCTTTGTTCACCATCTGCTTTTCTCGGGACGGACCCCGGGGTCTGGGCGACCCGACCGGGAATAAGACATGCATGGGTGTTTGGCCCCTTGGACACCAAAAGCCATTAAAGGTCGGCAATCTTGGCTGAGAAAAGGAGTTTGACGCGGGTGAAGAGGATAAATTTCAGGCTCATGCATCTATTTCCTGATATTTTCAGCCACTGCAGCGGTAGTTGGTTGCTCTGAGATCTCAACTATCCAACGCTACCAATGCATGAGAAAGGAGGTTATGAATTCTAATATGCATCTCTTGACAGAGCACAGCTTCATAGCAAGTCTTCACGCTGGTTCTCTGCTATCTATAAATCGAATGATGGTCTTTTCGTCTTAATCGCTTGCATAGATAGATAGCATAGCTTCTAAGCAAGGGTCATTGACGCCCGTCCTTTATCATTACTTCCTGCGAGATGCACCCAACTAATGACCCCTTTCAAGGTGCAGGATAAAGCCATGCTCCGTCAGGCGCTAAGCCCAGTGGCCTCTCGGCAGGTGCCCAAGCCTTATGCTAGAGACATTCGAGGCTAGCATCTTAGGAGGAAAGGAAGTGGTGTCTGGCAGCTTAATGTGATCCTGGCTGCCTGACAGACTATCGACGCGCCATCTATTGGCCAACAACCTTATCCATCCGCGGGGTCGCGCTCAGACAACATATCGAACTATTGAACTGTGACAGCTACGAGTCTTCAGTATGAGGACTGGGAGAGTGCACTGACTTGATGCCAAGGCTTCTCCCGTGTTCCATGTGCCACATCGAATCTACGCAACTAGATCAAATCCCATGTGCCAACTGCGTACAAATTCACAATAGATTGTCAATGCTTTGCCTTTGTAGACTTGCTGTCCATTCTAATTGGCTCACCGACAGAATTAACTCATATCTTCTTTCACATGAGGTTTGGCAGCACTTCTTCACAAAACCATACTCATCCGGCTTCCGACCGAAAACGCCTGACTCCAGACCCGATGTATCGATGCAATACTCTCCTCACTGGTATAACCTCAACCAATACGACATCATTCCTCTTCATCACTAGTAGCCTCGATGTTGGCCTTGGGAGATCTCTTCCGCTCCTTCTTGGGCTTCACCACGGGCACGAGGGCGCTCTCGGCCTCATCTTCGGGCTCCTCAACTTTCTCGCCTTGTGCGCGAAGGGCGGCATTGATAGCTGGAATGGCCTTGATGAGGGCATTGTACTGATCGACGGAGAGGGAGATACCCTGGCATTCTTTGATTAGCATACGCCCCACATCGAGAAGTTTCAGCAACTCACCTTCTTACCGGGAAGAGTCTTGCCATCCTTGTCGTAATATTCTCGAATGTTGATGAAGCTCATCTTCTTGAACTGAGAGACGCCAATCCGGCGCTTGTTGGAGAGCTGACGAGTTCGCGTTAGCGACTCAACGAGTATCAGCGCAGATAGCGTATGCGCATACCTCCCAGTATGGATGTCCTTCATCATCCTTGCCATCTGGAGCTGGGCCAGATCCAGAGCTCTTCGACCTCTTGACTGCCTTGGGAGCAACTTCGGCGTCGCTCGAGTCGGATTCAGCGGCACGCTTCTTGGTCGCCATGCGGGCCATTTTGATAAGAGTCGCGATAGGTCGTGTGCGCTAAACGATGAAACAGAAGGCTAGAATGAGGATCGCGACCCGAATCCCAACACGGAGACGGCGACAGAACGGTCGTGGCAGATGGATTTGATGTAGAGGTTGAGCTGATGTTGAATTGTCAACTCTTTGCGGGACGCGTCTGATACGCGGGGAGTTGATGTGACACCAACCCACGTGACTCTACTTGTTTAATTAACACCCTTGCTTGGGGAACTGCCGCCAACCAATCAGAGGCTATTAATTCATTTGAAGCGAGGGAGCTATCTACATTCCATTCTTGTTTCATGTGAAAATATTCATGCATTCCGTCTTTCTAATCCATGCCGACAGCAGGCTTAAGGGCGTCAGTCTCATCAGCTGACATGGCAAACGAAAGAAGCACATGAAAGAGGCAGAGCAAATTCAGATCGTCGATTACCAAGGTGAGCCCTGCTCGTGCAGCACGGCTAATTAAACGAAACAACACAGTCAGCTCGAAGCAAAGATTGGCCAGATGAAGGGATCCATTCTTGGATGCCGTATTCGCATGTGGAGGGGTCCTATCAATCGATCAGGGGCTGCGTTAGCCCTCAACAGCCCCATGCTGTATGCCGTTTTTAGTGGCAGTTGCAACCCCCATCTTAACGCCAGCAGCGCCAGCAACTCTCGAGCCGCTGACAACAGCAGGGGGCCCAGGGGCTTTTAGGGGGTTTTACGGGCCTTGACCCCTGACATACAAAGACAAGCAATTCCAATCCTTGGCAATTTGAAACCTTCGTGGTGGCCCTGCAAATCGCAGGACACGCGACACACTGGAACACCAAGTGATACATTCCCCGAGCGTTCCAGGCGACTTTTCGATCCTACACCAACCTTTCATTGCCTTTCGCATTCCGTCACCTCACCGTCACCTTCGCCCTTCAACTTCTGCTATTTCTATTGCTATGGTGACGATCTCCCCCGACGGTTTCGCTACGGTTGTTCACTAGGGAAAGCTACCCCCCCATCCCTTGCGCAAAGAAGCATCAAAAAACAGCTTCCCCTTCCCGATGAATTCAACTTCAATCCTCGACCAAGATGCGCATCAGCGAGGTGCCAGCCGCCAGGCTTCGCCAGAGCTCAAGGGCGGAGAGCTGAATGGCTTACCAGCTTCGACACTCCAAAACGAGAAGCCAGCGCTGACGGACAAGCTGGCCAATGGTTCCGTCAAAGAAATACAATCAACAAACGATGATACGACTCCTGAGAAGATCGAGACGACGATGAATAATACGACCGCCGATACAGCATGCTCTTCCGATGAAGAGACACCTGTCGCCAAGGTCCTCCACTTTCTAGCAACTGCGACTCCTGGTTCTCTTGCTGGTGTAGCAGTCGGCTTCGCTGCCTTCACATACTTGACCATGGGACGACTGGGCCTCGTCCTTATCGGCGCATTTGGTGGTGTCGTTGGCTTCATCTCGTGGGAAGCTCGAAACCCAGAGGTCTCTAGGGCAGTCCGAGGAGAGCGAGGCATGGACGTCATAGAACGACTACTGGAAATCAAAAACAACAAGGCAGAGGAGAAGGCTGAGGATAGCAGCGACGATGAGGAGACGGCTATCAAAAACTTTGACGAGTTCCGCCCTGAGACTCGGGAAGCCCTTGGAGGACTCGTCGACGCCGTTATTAGGGACTACGTCAAATGGTGGTACAGCCCGATCATTCCGGCTGACCATTCATTCCCTCTGGCCTGCCGCAAGACGCTCACCTCGTATCTCCTCGCCGTCTCGAATCACCTAAGCCGCAAGAGACCCGCAGACGCATTCCTCGACCTCCTTACCAACTCATCATCGATCATCATCGTATTCATGTCCGAGCTCGCATCCGCCTTTTCCGAGCTGCCCCCCGACAGCAGTATGACAGCAGCCGACGCTGTCTACAACTACCTTGCCGCCAATCCCGACTGCCACCTGGCCAATCTGCTAAACCAACGCCAGCAGGCGGCCAAGTTCAAGATGGTGGCTGAAGACTTGCTAGGCTTTCTCGATCGCAACGCATACAACTGCGATCCTGCTCGTGTTTTCTTGCGTGAGATTCTTGCGAACTCGGTTCTTGAGAAGACGCTACAAACATGCAGTCAAGCCGATTGGATCAACGGATGGATCGTGTACCTTCTCGAAGCCGGTGAACCTGACTTGAACCAGGCCATTGATGTTGGCATGCAGCGTGGTCCTGAGGCGACCACTACCACGAATGTGTTTGCGGATTTGGACGGCAATGTCGGAAACATCGGTATCGCGAAGCCGGGACGCAGCTCACTGGAGAACGAAAGAGCTCGAAGAAAGGAGCCCCTTGGCCACAAGAAGAAGCTGAGCAAGGCAGAGGAGGAGATGGATGACGCCATGGAAGAAATGAAGCGTATGAACCAAATGATTGCTGAGGAAGAAGCTCGACGAAAGCGCGAGTCGGTCAATTCTATGAAGGGATCCAGCACAACATCGATCGCCAACAAGAGACTATCCGCCACGGGTGAGCAATCTCCCAAGTCTGCAGCCTATGCCGAAAGGTCCCTCCCATCGGCAACATCAACCGAGGGCTTTTCTACAAAGAGCGATATTGCCCCGACTCCAATTACGCCACGATCACCCATGGACTCTTCAAGCCCTGAATCATCCCCCAAGGGATCAGAGGGAACCCGCTTCACGAGCTTTGACCAGATTGTGCCTCCGGGCCAAGACAACGAAGAGGATGAGCCACCTAAGAAAGCGCCTCTTACTCTCCATAATGCTTCCCTCACCCTCCACGATGATGCCACAGGCGACAAGAGCCGTATCCGTAACAAGCCCACCTGGGACTACTGGGTCCAAGTCGAGCCATCTGTGGCTGGCTATGCTGGGTGGATGATTGTACGAAGATATAATGATTTCGAGACTCTGCATGAAATCCTGAGGCGAATTGCGAATATCTCGGGCGCCACAGCTTTCACCGAACTTCACAAGGACCTGCCAGACTGGAAAGTCCACACTCGCGAGTCACTTCGTGGCGAGCTGGAGAGGTATCTTCGAGATGCTTGCTGGTACCAGAGTCTGGCCGAGAGTGAAGGCATGAAGCGATTCCTGGAAAAGTCTAAGGGGCATACACACAGTGAATCCAAGTCTGGCTTCGGGTGGGAGTCTATGGGCAAGGGCATGCTGGACGTGCTGACAACGGCGCCCAAGGGTGCCATGGAGGGAGGCAAGACTTTGGTTGGAGGCGTTACAGGTGTTTTTGGCAACTTTCCGGGCCTCAGCAAGAAGACTACAAGCAGCCAGTCTGTAGATTTGACCAGCCACTCCAGCAGACTCTCCATCTCGACCCCTCCGACTCGAATCGATGGTATGCGATCTCCGGCTCGCTCAGCACGGGACAGCATGGACAGCCAGCGGTCGTCGGTTGTATCTATACAGCCTGGAAAGATGCCCCCCATGGAGCGTCGTCCCAGCTACCAGTCGCAGAGTGAGTCGGATCCAGAGCTGCGCATGAGCCGAGCAGACCGCAAGGAGACCGGGTCGGCGTCAGTGAGTGCTCGTCCTAGTCGAGAGCATAGCCGTGCGCCGAGCCTTGCCCAGCTACGATCTCCTTCATCAGCCAGTCTCGACTTTACGAAGCTGCCACCTCCACCTGATCAAATCGCGGACGACTATGGATCGCCCGAGGGCAACGGTGACATGCAAGACAAGATGAACGATAGCATCCTGAATCAGCAGCACGGACGCAAGGGTTCACAGCAGATCCCGACCCCTCCTCCGTCTGTCTCGGGAGGCAAGAGGTTATCTCTGAAGCCTGCCAGGCAGTATGCCCAGCTCTCAGAGCCTGAGACACGGGTTGCAGTTGAGCTGCTATTTGCCGTCATCAATGAGATGTACACGCTGTCTTCGGCATGGAACATCCGACGCACCCTCTTGACGGCTGCCAAGTCATTCCTGCTTCGCCCCGGCAACCCGTCCCTCTTGACGGTCCAGTCGCTGATCCAGAAGTCCGTCATCGACGCCAACACGTCGGACGCGGGTCTGGCTCACCAGTTGCGCAAGATCCGGGAGAACATGATGCCGACAGAGCAAGAGCTTGCCGCATGGCCTGCGGAACTTACAGCAGACGAGAAGGAGAAGCTTCGAATCAAAGCCCGTCGTCTTCTCATCCAGAGCGGCCTACCAGCTGCGCTGATGGGCGTCATGGGTCAGGCTGCGACAGGCGAGGCACTCGGCCGAGTGTTTGACTGCCTCCAGATCGAAGAAGTGGCTCGGGGACTGCTCTTTGGACTGATCCTACAGGTTGTGCGAATTGTGACACACTGATTTCTGCGCGAGTAATACGTAATGTGATGGGAAGAAACATGACCTGGTGTTTGGTGTATTCGAGGGTTTCTTGCTGAGATCCAAGGGAAGGGCTTGCTTTTTGGTGTTTTCTTGTACGACTTTGGGAGGGGACATCACACAGAAGGGCAACTCCGGCAACGGCAACGGAGCAGATGAGGTTTCAAATGTTGCTGCAAACTGCATTAGAAGAGGAAGAAGAGGGTTATGTATAGTAGATATGTCGTCGAGACGGGGGCCTTGATGGTCTCGCTCGCTTTTATTAATACCGGAACGAAGGAAGACACGTAAAAGACGCTTATTTTCACTATGACCAGACGGACATGATCTTACGCCCGAAGCACCGCCAGAAGCACCGTCCGAGTCATCCATCGTCCGAAGCACCGCTCAGGGGAGGATTATAGACTAGTAGACGTCTTGTCATATTCTACGGATACTCTACCATACATACCCACTACAGCAATCAATGGTCTCTGCGCGGACAATTCGATTCCGTACACGTCGTCTCTCCTCACAAAAAGAGTAAACAATCCTCCCCGTCTGAGTTGCACTTTGCTCACCCGGACAAAAAAAAACAAAAGCAACTCTTCGCCGGCCGGTGGTAGATCGTCCCCCCTTGTCAAGCCCACGGTCCTCCTCAATCTCCGCGTCGTCCGGGACCCACGCAATAACCAAAAAAGAAAAGGTAAACGCACGGGAAAGGGGGGGACAAGAAAAGCTGTCGTACGATTATCGACGGTTGACCGTTTACTAGCCATGGGCTGCACGTGGGAGGACCATCTTTCTTTTTTCGTCCGGTCTTGGGATGAACGCTAGACTAGGGGAGAATGAAAGCGGGAGCAGGGTTGATCTTCTTCTAGGAACCGGGAGCCATGTTCTTGACAGCCTGGGGATGGAGGCTTGTGGCTTGTCAGTGTGTGCCCATCAACAGGCGAAGACATCCTGAGCTTGGGTCTCTTTATCCGGTGACAACGGTCTTGCAAGGTCTTGCTTGCGGGTCTCCCACAATCCGATCATCAAGAATCTTGAAGTCATGAAATTGACATCCAGACACCATCTGCCTTGCCCAGGAGCCAAGTTCTGTGTGTATTCTATCCAAGACAATGTGAATACATCCACCTATTGACTTGACTTCCTAGTGTGCCCCTGATCTTCCTCACATTATTCTAGATTACGTCTCCTTCCTCTTTCAACACGATAACCTTCTTTTGTTTACAACGTATCCAAACTCGGACAAGACCATCAATCCTTAACCCCTACCATCTCACAACCCTCAGGGATTGACGCATCCGATATACACCCTTATCCTTGCCCGTATCCGTATTTCTCAACCTTGATATGCATACTGGCTAGTGACACCACGGGAGACTACGATTGGAACATGGGGGCTTCACCCTTCAACCATATTGAGCCGAGGAGACAACATACTAACATCATGGTGCGACGTGAAGACCGAGTCAAATACGACATATAGTCACAAGGGAAAGGAGTTGAAAGTTGACAAGTAATGTTTTGAGTAAGATATGATTAGACAAGGGATTTACAGTGTCCCAGTGTAGATAGTAAAGATACAGGATTTGATGTGATACGCCAATCACCACAAAGAGAATTGTACAAGAAAGGCAAAGAAAACCTGCCAACACCGCCCAATGATAATACATGATGTGATATGAGATGTCTAACATGCTGTTGCAGCCGTGGTGGTCTCGTTAAGAGGCAATAAAAAAGGCTTGATGATAATGATAATGATGATGCTAAGAAAGAGTCGAGAAGTATATGCTTGGGGTATCAAAGGATTGTATGGGGTCGGCCGTAATTCATAGTAAAGTTGTGCTGAACGATGAAGTGATTAAATGTGTTTGGTTTGTGTTGAGCCATCAAGGTCGGTAGACAGTATTCGTAAGAAGGGGAATGTCGTCTACAACAGGCTCGGGTTCTCGGTTTGTTGGAGGTGATGCCAAGGGAGACACTGCTCTGGGCTCAGAGATATCCCTTCGCTTCATGGCATAGTTATCAGTAGACAAGCCATTGAGCATCTCGTGGCTTCGTTGGCGATGGAGTGCGATCCGTTTAGTCTCCATCATGTCGACGGCCGATGCGGGTTCACTACTGGCTTGCTTGCTCATCAGAGAGATTTCGTTCTCAACATCAGCCAGGAGGGCATAAACGTCGTCTCCAACATAGATCCGAATGCTCTCAACGTCAGCTCGCTTCAAAGATGCCATGGCTGTTGGGCGCTCCTCCGGCTCTTCCTGTGTCTCAGCCTCCTCAATGACAGGCTGCTCCAGGATGGTGCTTGGGACTTGAGCCACGACACGTTGGGGTGAGGGCGAGTTATGCGGGCTGCTTGTGCTTTGAGGAGATGTGAAGGTGTCCTTGGAGGGGCTTCGCGGGGGTGTTGAGATGTTGCCGACACCTGAAGAGGGGGTGCTGCTGGGCGCCTGTTGCTGTTGCTGTTGTGGCTCGGGTGTCATGGGCAATCCGCCGACAGGGAGGCAAGCAGCGGCAGCAACGTGCTCAAGAAGCTTTTGGCGAACACGAGTGCGTCGGTTCTCTGCCTGCTCCAGCTTGTTGACCCAGTCATCAATAGAAGCATCCAGCTCAGCAAGCGCCTCCTCCTGCTTCAGCATTGAGTCGTGGCTAAATTTAGCCACGCGAGGAGAGCGCAGGTATTGGCAGATACGAGAGTGGAGGTTTCGGCGGCCTACACGGAGAGCATTGTAGGTGCGACGGAGGTACTCGGTTCTCTCATCCAAGTGACGGAGTTCCTTTGATAGCGCCTCAACATCGGTTGACTTGAGCACCTCGAACCGCCCCACTTGAGCAAAGGCCTGCTTCTGAAGCAAAGCAAGCTCCGATTGCTCCAGCTGCTGTGTGGCGTCGGCTTGTTTCACACCGGTGGGGAGCTTCTCAAAAGCCTTCTTCTCAGAGCTCTTGCTCCTCTTGGACTCTGTCCTCTGGATAATTGGTCCGTTGTTAGTGCGCAAGTCTGGCCTCTTCCGTGGGCGACCTCGGTCCGTCATGCTCATGCTCGATGATTCAGAGCCGCCCCTTCGGTGACCCCGAAAGACGCTGGTCGGCTCAGCCGTCAAAGTAGGAGTGAAACGGCCATCTGCAGGCTTGGGGGACGCCGGTCGGGATTCGGTTATCGGTGCCGAGACTGGAGTTGGTAGCGCTCCAGTAGAAGGTGCATTGGTCGATGCTGCTGATTTGGGAGTTGAGAGATCGGGCATCGAGGAAGCGGGAGTGTAAGGAGTTCGGCTTCGGGGAGATACGTTGTTACGGCCAGTTCTGAGCGAGTCACTCCTTGTGGGGAAGCAGTTGAGAGACTGCTGGCGTCGGAGCAGGGGCAATTGGGCATCGGACTTGGGGATGACCAATGGGGCAAGATGTTTGGGCGAGATGGGGATCGAGCCTTGAGGCATTGGATGGCGAGACTCTTTCTCCTCGCGAGGATCAGGGCCTTCATCATCGCTAGAGATGTAGAGGAAGGTATCCATCAACTGGTGCTTCCTGCTAGAGTTGCCTGGAGCACTAATAGAGCGCTCGTGAAAAGGTGGGCGACCAGGAATAGTTGCTGCAATTGAGTCAGTTTCCAAGCTCAAAATATATAATGGATGTGCGTACGTGAGTCCATTGAAAGCTCTTGAACAGTTGTCATAGGTCCAACCTCGGGTACACTGATCTTGCGGCGTCGGACCAAGCTGGCCTGGTTGAGTCTCTTCTTGAAGCTGTTGGGAACCGATTGTTTCTCTGCTTTTTCGTTCGTCGAGGCTGAAGGGGCGGCGGGAGCTGAAGCACCCTTCTCAGATTCCGGGTTCTTGCCACTGTTGAGGATGGGCAATCGCCTCTCCTTGGGGAAGAGTTGATACTTCCTGGGTGGCTCGGGTTGCTGCATTCTCCAAGTGAAGGGTTTCTCTGGCTGTGGGGATGTTTTCTGAAAGATGGCACAGGTAAGTCTGGGCCGTGGCAAGAGGTTTGGATGAAAGGAGAATTGGGAGCATACCAGCTCGCTTGCAGGCTGCGACGATGGCTTAGTTATATGGTTGGCGTCGATATCGACGATGCACTTGGCAATGTGAGCCATTGTGTCGAAACAATCCTGTTTGCTCGGGTAGCCAGAAAAGGAAGTAGGTCAGTGTCAGAGATTGATGGCGCCGGCTTCAGATGACACTGCCGTCGGTGTTAGGGCGGCGAGCTATAGCATAAGTCAAACTGGCACACGGTAGGGTTAGGTGTTTCGGCTTCGAGGAGGCTGGCAGGCAGGCAGGAGCTGACTGCAACGTCGACTCTGGCATTGAGGGTATATAACAAATCTAAGTGTGGATGTCAACCCCAGACGACGGCTTAATGCCAAGATGGCGCGCTCAGAGTTGGGTTCCTTCGCTTACATCTGCCCAGGCACGCAGTCACCGGAGACTACCAGGCAGGCCGTTTCTCAGTCATCCGCCCCTTGCTGATGACCGTGATGGGATATCGGGCCCCCTAGCCACGGCCATGGACCCAAGCCCAAGCCCAAGAGCCCCGCCAGATGGTGTCACGCCCCAGAGGCAAAAAGCATCGAGAAGCTTTGGTACACCGGCCTGAGACAAGAGCGCAGAGAGGTCTGGGGACGCGGGAGAAGCCAGGGGGGGTGTTGCTAGGTGTTGACGGGCCCGATGCTCGTGGCTGCCAGTGCTAGCAAAGCGCCACCTGGAGGACCCAGGGTCGGGGTCGAGGCAGAAAAGGGAATGGATGGACTAGGCCTGTCAGAACTCAGAAGGTCTTTGGGTAGTGCAAAAGAACAGACCAGGAGGTTGCCAACGGCCGCCATTCAACGCCTCGTCGGCCGTGTGCTCAATCACACCTCTCTGTCCGTCCCTTGTGGCTCTCCTAGCTCTCTCCCTGAGGTCCCAGGTGCCCCTGGAACCGACCGGGGGGCTCGATGAAGCCAGGGCCCGCCGCGCTACCGACGCCGAGGCAGGGGTAGCCGCTCCACCATG